CAAGTTTAGGAGCCCTCATCTAGACCTAAATTCTTGCAGGTTACTGATTGAATTTTTGGAAGACTTAAAGGTAAAGATGAGAAGGACTGTTTCGCCCCCTGCCTTGTGATCTGGATTGTTGACTGTTCTCAGTCCAACACAGTTCAATTTATTGTAGCCAAGCCAAAAGTAATGCCACTGGGGAAAAAAAAGACATACAATATTAATCCCTGGAAGACTTTATTCGTGCGAGCACTCATGCAGAAAAGGACCCATCATTGTATCTTGACTATCTTAATATGAGTTTCAGATACAGTGCAGTGTTCAAACAAGTGGATGTTGATAGAAACAAATGGCAGCATAGAGAAGAAAAGTGGGAGGTGGTCTGGCTTTTTAAACATACCCCAGTGCACTTGTGCACAGGTGGGAGCTCAAAGGAAGGAAGCAAAAATAATCACAGGATTAAAACCAAAGAAGACAATGACTGCCGGGATTCAGAAGCTCTGTCTTTCCATTTAGCAGCACAAAGGTTGAGAAGTGTCATGTCAATATAAAAATATCTGTCAATAGATACATACTGCATATGCAAATATATATACAGATGTAAAAAAGATCTGATGTTTTAATGAGAACCAACAGGGAATCAGGCAAATTCAACCTTGAAATCAGAAGCAGTGCTGCAGTTAACTTAGTAGTAAAACTTCAGGGAGGAGAGAGCTGATGTAATCATAATATTTTAAGATAAAATTAGACATTTTGTTTGGTAAGATACACTTTAGCCAGGCTTCTGGGAACAATTCAGTGGGTTATATAGAGACATTATAGCTGAGTGACTGCAGTATTCACTTCAGACTTTAAAAGATGTCAGTCCATAAACAACATTTAAAAAATCCACATATGCAGATACATTTCAGAAGAACAAGTGCAGTGGCTGTTCCAGGGGCCGTTATTTTCTCCCAGTTAGCATGGCTTCATGTTATGGCTTAGTTACATTTTATTGTTATAGTATGTGGTTAATACGCACAGTATTTCTAGTAAGCGTGGTATGTGCATTGATACTCAGTTGCAATTTCATATATACATGGTGTTTGTTCGGATGGTTCCACACACTGGTAGTAGAAGAACAGGTGTTCCCTGTGAGCTAATTGGGTCTTCATTTAGCCTGTTTTATATAGCTAATGTAGTTAAGCTTCCCTGCATGTATGTTTGTTTTCATTTCAGGCTCCATTCAGGAAAACTATTACTGATGAAAATCTTTGTTTCAAACAGCACAGAGTAGGAGTACTAAGCTGAAATCGAATTTGTGAGATGTCTTTGTTATGGTGTCATAATTTTTGTAGCATTCCAGCGAGGGACAAAGAGTGGACTTGTCAAAACATTTATTCCTGACTTCAGATTTAAGCTATTTAGTACTTTCTGTTCTAAAAGTTATTTCAGGTATAAATGTAGTGATAAAATCAGAGCTTTCTTGAAGTTTTTTACTTATAAGTGTATATTCATAGTTTTGTAGTTCTGGATTGCCAGGTACCAGTCATGAGATCTGTTCAGAACTTGCAGCTCATTGTGGGACCATCAGAGCAACCATCCCTATTTTTTTATTTTTTATTTTTAATGAATTGACAGTGATCTGTAATAACCTGAAAAAGCTTTTTTTTTGGTCTTGCTTCTAGCTGAAGTTGTACCTGACAGATGTACTGACATGGAGGGAGCTTAAGAGGTGTCTGGGCATCTCCCAGTTTAAAAATCATTTAGACATTTCCAGTTTGATCTTGGAAATTTTAGATCTAATGCCAGTAGGTAGATTTTACTGATTTCTTAAATTGGTTTCGGGAACTTGGGTGTTCGAATTCTGCAGAATGGGGAAGCAGTGATGTACTTTCCAACACCCCATTTAGCGTGTGCTCTGAAAGGGGCAGTCGCAGAGGACAGCATGCAGATGTCTTTGAGGACACGAGATTGGTCGTGATACAACTTTATAGATAGTAGAGTTCTGGCGTGCTTTGCAAAAGTATTGTCTGGGCTTGGAGGTGTTCCTAATCCATGGAAGGCAGAAGTCAGTATTGATCAATAGTCATTTACAATGAGTAGGGGAAAGGAGTTGTCAGGGACTGTATGTGCAGGCTGGCATGGATGTCCTCTGGCTTGATGATCCAATAGAGGTCAGAACAGAAATGATTCAGCTATCTAGCCAAAGGAATTTTGGCATGCTGCTTGGGCCCAAGGATAAATACTAAATAGCTAACTTGTGCCTATCTGAGAAAAAAATATTCTGGACTTGTTGTAGCAAATTCCCATCTTTGTGTGGTGGCTGTCAAAGTCTCTAATGTACAGCTGGGCAGTTCATGCATGGAAGAACTTGTTGCCTTCAGTTCTCCCTTAGAGGCTTATAAACATTAGCCACCCGGAGGCTACTGATTTAGATAAGCATGCTATAAATTGACACTGCATGTAAATGAGCTATCATGCTGTGTTGTGGTGATTAATGTGATTGTAGTGGCACACATTATCTATTAAAATTATGATAACCTGGGGAAATCACTTTGAGATAACCTGTTCTGTCTGTTCCTCTCAGGAGAGTATCTGCATTTTGGCTCCATATAACTTATCTTTACTCCTAATGCAAAAAAGAAAATTAAAGAGAGCAAACTGTGTACTAGGACTGTATTCTAACCTGCTTTGCATTTACTCCTGCATGTTAATTTTCTTAGGCAAAAACTTCCTTTTGGATTGCCTTGAGACTGGCCTTTTGTTAATAAGCACTCCAGAAATCAGACCAGTTTTTTACAAGCTCAAGATTGAGGTGTCAGTGCTGGCACTTAACTAATTGTTGCTGAAACCTTCATGCTTATGTCATGCTGTTAAGGCCCTGGCACTAATTGCTTGAAGCTTGGTTTGACTTAATTTAAATCTTTAAGGAATTTGTCTTAGTTTAGCTTTTTATTCTGACAGTATGTATTTTTCTTGCAATTTTTGCTTGTGCCATACTTTAAAAAGTGTTTGTTCCAGTTTTAAGACACAGCAGCTTATGAATAATTATGTTTACTCTGAACTATTGGTACAAGTTTCATTAATTTATGTATGGATAAATTTGCAAAAAAAAATATTCTTTCAAATGAAGTTTAAAGCAGGGGAAAAAGATAAAGCTGTGGAATGTCTTTGGTTTTGCTAGTTCCCTATTTTGGTCCAAGGCCTGAGAAAGCTGGGATTTTTGCCTTCTATTGCCCTGTGCTCTAACACAAAAGCAGCTCTGTCCTGTTAATTCTTACCACTTTCCTCCTCTCCCTGCTTTGTCATGTCAGTAATAGTAGTAGTAGTATCTCAGGAATCCTTGAGGCAAGTAACACTATAACGTGTGTATTCATGGAATAGTTATTTGACTTCTCATGAGACTAGAAAAATCGTTTTGTGGAGAGGCTTTTGAGATAAGTGAATGAGACAAGGGGAGAGGATAGAGGAGGAGGAAAGATAATATCACCTAATACATTCTAGTAATCACTTGGCAAGTGTACGTACAGGACACGGAGAATTCAGTATCTATCACACAGGCCATAGTAGGTGCTGTGTCTGTTAAGGTTGAAAGCCATCAGTCTTGAAAACGAGATTTACATGTAAGGTGGAGGGTGCTGTGAAAAGTATGTTTAACCGTAGTGAAATACACCCTCTTGTGGCAAGAAGGAAAAAGTCCAAGCAGAAACACGTGTGACCGCTCTTCTTTCCCCGCCCCCTGCTCACTGTTTTGCCTTACTGATTCTTCGTTTGTCCTTGCCTTGTATTCAGTGAATATTCCTCACTGGCAGGCACCACGCGTGCTTTCCTGCAATTCTCTGTTGTTTCGTCTTTCTCTCTGGGCGGTACCGGAATCCGTTCTGTTTGCCTTGCAAATGCTGAAATGTCACTCTGTCTGTCCCAATCCGGTTTTATCAGTATTTGGATTGCATTTAAACTCTTGGCTTTAAAGTGCCCTTATTTACTAAGTTGCTAACATATTGAAAATTTGCCTTACAGACTAACTTAAAAATATTAAGGAGAGTAGAAGGCTGGAAAACTAAGTAAGGCCATTGAGAAACATACTAGTTTTGTTTCTTAAATAGCTTAGTTTGTCTGAACTGCTATGAAAGGGTCATGTATAGGCGGGATTAGGAGATAACATGCTGCTTTTCCCAGCTGTTTGATTAACCTGCTTAGAGATAGGTCAAATGCAGTAGCAGAGGGCAAAGAAGACACAACATCACCTTGCAAGTGCAAAAAAGGCCCTACAGCATGTTTGCAGTTTATCAGATTTGCTGCATAATAAGATGTACCCTCGGTTCACCACTATAATTAACCCAGGAAAGCACTCCGGTTCAGTCTTTGCTGATAGCATGAACCTCACAAAGCCAAGCAGTCTCAGCAAAATACCTCCAAATAAGATTAAGCAAAGCAAATGAACCATGAAATAAAATGTAGGTTAAGTGTTGAGCAAATGCTGTTTGTTGCTTGCATTTAGTACCAACTTTTGTACTTGGCATGAAGCGTCCAGGCATATAATGCGTGAATAGTACTGACAGTTGGTAACAAGTGCTGACAGATGAGACCTTAAGCAGATATCATTAATGTTTTCCCTGTGCAGAATAATCAAATGTTGTATGAAAACACTGGTAAATGTGTATTGGTGGCATTTCCCACAACTCCTAAACAGTCATGCCTTTCAGCCTGTTGATGCCCAGCAGGATTGGGAATTATATGTTGGTGGGCTCATCTGGGACATGGTGAGCAGAAATGCTGGTAGACTGGGTAATGCTGGGGTATCAGTGAAAAGAAGAAACAAAAAGACCTTGAGAAGGGAAAGCCGGGGCTCATGGCATGTTTGTAAAGTGACAGATTCCTTATGCCTGTGCTGTTGCTGAAGAGCTTTGTCAGACAGCAGGCAAAATACTGCTTACGTGAGAGAGAACAGATAGAGTGGGTATAGACATAGAGAGTCCTGAAGTCTAGTATCTGTTTAAAAAACAGATCTCATCATTCGTTCTTTTGCTTTTCAGGTATCTTGCAATATCTTCAGAACTCTCCCACCTAGTGACAGCAATGAATTTGATCCAGAAGAAGATGAACCCACCTTGGAGGCATCGTGGCCACATTTACAGGTTCATGCTAATTTCTTTCAGAAGCAATGCTTATGGTTGCTTAATGGATCTAATAACTTTCTCAGTTTGTTTTTGTTTTTTTTTTAACTTGTGAATTAGAACTAGTTTGTGAAACACTTTTTAGCATTGTTCATGGCTATAATATAGTACCTATAGAAGTAGGGAGAGTACTTTGTGACATTTGCAAAATGTTAGTTTTCTTTCAAAATTATATTGCTAGTGTCCCTCATTCCTGTTTTCATTAATTGATTTAAACATTATTCGCTTTCCAAACTGCTCTGATGCACAAGTGTTTTTCAGCAGCTTCAGTAAGACTATTGTGGGGATGATACTGCTAGTAGTTTTGATTTACTGAGGAGGGTGGTTAATTTTCTTACAAAAGCACACAGGTGTTGGCAGCTGATCAGAAAAATGGGTGAGAATCTACATCCTTATCTAAGTCTTTCCTCCTTTCCTTGGGTTAAGGTTTGCTTTCAGGTGTTTGTAGCAGGATGTGTGCTCACTGCTGTGTGTCATCCCTTTCCTCTGTACCCCAAGTGTCAAGACAAGGTATTTTGAACAAAGAACATAGGCTAATTTTGGAGAATGTCTCATTGATGCTAATACAAGAGATGCCTTTATAGAAGATATAAATGCAAATCCTGCCTGTGTTAGTCAGCACTGTGACTTACAGCACTAGTAAATTTAGAAGTCTACCTGATTAACAGGTTGTGGAGTCTGAGATTTTCCGTGGGCAAAGGAGCACGATTGATCTCAGCTTGAAATCAGGATTTTATTGGATAGTTGCATGCACAGTCCTTGCCTGTGAATAATCTGTTTCACCTTGTGCTCTCAAAGTTAGAATGTTGAGATTCATCCCTTTTCATCCCTAAATTTCACAAAAATCAAGAGTCTTAAAAGCTTTAAGGCAGCTCTGAACAGCTCTGCCTATCTGGAAAGTGTGCTGGTGTGCATGTATGTCCTCTTATTTTCATTGACAGTAGTGCTGTAGTTTTAGAAGTCATAATTTACCTGGAAGTGACAGAATTTCTTTGTGGATGATCTACCATTTTCAGGAAGAAATGCACCAAAATATTTGTGAGTTGATGGAATTGATTTCCTGATGATTTAACATTGGTTTTTTCCACATCAAACTTGTAAACCTCTCCCTTTTTTGATTTCCTGTTGGTTTCCTTTTAGAACTCAGATCACTGACATAAAGCAGCAGAAGCAGCAGTATTGCAGCATATTGGTGTTTGCGTGGAAAACTTTAAAATTACTTCAAAATTCAATTTTTTAGTTTCCTTTCTCCTTTTGGCATCAATATGCCTACTCACTGAAGTGAGGAGGAAAAAGTTGTCAATGTCTGCTCCTCTTAAAAACAGGTGCAGTAGAGAATTGATAGCTGGTAGCTCATCTGATCAGTGACATGTCAGAGTTACTGTCTTGTGAGGCCACAGCAGTCCCTGTTCCACTTCACTTCCTTTTTGCCTGCTGTTTATACTTTTTTCATCTCCACTAAATGTGAAGCTTTTTGCTGTCCCACTGAATAGTTTAAGCAGAGATGGAATTGCATGAATGTAAGCAGGTTTTCTCAGCCCTCGGGCTAATCTTTACAGTAAGTTAGGAAGTTCTGAATAAATTCTGGTTTGTATTCTACTTCTGTGTTTCAAGCTGTAGTGGAATGCTACTCTAAGCACTTTCTAATTTAATTTCAGTATTTCCAACTGTTTTGCCAACACTTTCGGAATTGTAATATCTGTATTTGATGTGACTTCAGCACTTCCGAGGGCAGTTTAAATGTGCTTTCCAATTACTCCAGGAAGCTTTACAGGATGATAACAAGCATTGCAAGATGGCAATGCTTGTTCTTGGTGATGAAATGTCTTTGACTGGAGTTAAATAAGCAAAGCTAACTTAAAAAGCTCATGTAATTAATTCTAATGTTTAAGACATTCTAAGATAGCAATTTGATAAAGGAGAAAAATCCTGTTTCATCTTTGGAACCTTTTGCTCTCTGAAAATTTAAATATTCTATTTTCTAGCTGAACAATTTAGGGAAATACTTGAAAATATAAAGAATTATCAAGACACAAACTAAACCATAGGTTTGTATTTTTTTTTTATTTTGCAGCTTGTATATGAGTTTTTCATACGATTTTTGGAAAGCCAAGAATTCCAGCCCAGCATTGCCAAAAAGTACATAGATCAGAAATTCGTATTGCAGGTAAACTGATCTGTTTTCTTTCTTTGCTTTTGAAAACATTTCCTTAAAAAGGTTTTGTTTAGAATTTGAAAGTGCAACTTTGTTTGCAACAGAAAAAGGCTAAATAAGCACAGACAAAGTTTTCTGTCTATGGAGGTAGCAGAATTGTGTGTGTGTTTATATGTCAGTCTATGTTGGTATAGATATATACAATAGTTGTTTTGGCTCCAGTTTTGATACATAAATCAAAATATTTGACCTGTTGGTTATGGGAGGGATCTGAAACAGTAACTGTTGAAACCAGGAAGATTTACCAAGTAGCCTGAAAATGCTGCAGTCTAGAGAGACTACGTGAATGCCAGTTTTAATGTGTCTTAATATTAAAATATTTCTGTTGGAAGGGTGAATATTTCCCCCTTCTATCTCTGCTGGAGAGCTGGCAACCAGGGCAGAAGTTCATTAAGAAACCTATTCCCAGTGCAGTTCTGAGAGCAATGATTCTGTAGTGGTCAGGGAGGAAGTAAATCAAAAGGCTACATAAAGATCAAGCTCTATTAAAGCATAGAAGTAGTAGCATCAATAATAAATATTGGCAAAGAATGGGTAACTGTATTTATGTAGTTTGCTTGCCTTTGTTACGGCTAGATGGAAGAGATGGCCTCAGTCAGCTGGTGGGCAGGGATTTCATCTTTCTCCTCCTTGTGTGCAAGCTGGGCTTCTTGTGTGCGTTGTTATTTCACTTGAAACTCCAGTAGGTGCTGTTCTCTATTGAGGAATTTTCATCCAGGCCTTGACGGCAGAACAGAGATTGCTGAGGGAAGGTGTTTTCTGGAGTAAGCTTGGAAACTCCACAGACAGGACTTTTGTCTTCAGCTTTCAGGAACAGGCCTGTCTTGTGTTTTCTGTTCGCATCGTGAATTTTTGCATAATCGCAAAGTAAGGAGGAATTTTGTGTTTCATGCTGTCTGTAGCTTGCTTTTGAAATCAGGGAAATGTTGAAAGATTCCTACTTAGTTAGAAAAGGGAGTTTTCTTGTGGGGTGAGACTTGGATAAAAGCCAAACTAGAAGTGACAGGAGACAGCATTTCTAAAGGCCTTTCTTTCACCCCTTTATCATGGAGCTTTGCTTTTTCGATGTCATGCTCAAGCAATAGAAGTGGTGCTTTTACTGTCTTTGCGTGTTACTCAGATGAAGAATACATTAAAAATGTAGCAGAGAGCAATTTCTGTTCTTAAATGCAAAGATTCTTTAAATTTAACAGTTTCCTTCTTTATATCACAAGACTTCTTTGCTGTACAAAAGCAATGGGATATACTTACGGTTTTACTTTATCCATTTTCTAAACAGAGTAGTGTTTTTCATCTGGATCAAACCTGTATGCTGGAGTTGTCTTTTTTATCATCTAAATAGTGATTGGAACAAGGGGGTGCACTAATCTGATAATCTAGCCCCTGGTGGAGATATAAGAGTAAACCTGGAGGGTAATCACTCTTGACAGGTTTTTCCAGACTGATTTTTAGTTTCACTAGATATAGCAGGATTGCATTAGAAAGAATGTTTGTGTTCTACTTGAGAATCTAGAGAAGATAATTCCTAGATGCTGCTGTTATGTGCTGCTGAACTTGATCATGGCTGGTGGCATTCCATTCATTTTCAAGGCATTCAAACCTGTTACAGTTTGGCACAGGACAATGGGTCCAACACAAGGATTATTTTTTATTTTTAAACCCTGTTACCCTTTAATAAGTCTACTAAATGACAGAATGGTATCTACTGAAAGAGGGAAGTATGAGATTTTGAAACCTTCATATTTGAAAATGTATGATGTGACAATTAAAATTTCAAGAGTTGAAAATTCAGAAGTTCTTGCTACATGGTTAAATGGTGAACTTTTATATATAGTGAAAATTCACATTTTTATAGAAAAAATTCCACCGCACCTTACATATACATGCAAGTAGGTGTATTTCCATGTCTGTAAGTGTCTGTGTTTAGCCTGGAGGAACTGGGATGTTCTGCCACTTCTTAGTGTATTTGCTGTGTGTTTGAACTCCTAACAATCTGTAAGTGCAGATTTCACTTACAATTAAAACCAGTTTGAGACTTAAGAACGTTAAACATATTTGGTGTCTCATGGCACTGACATACAAATGTGACAGTCTTTTAAGTCAGATTTCTCTCTAAATTAATTTGTTCTTTTAAAATTTGAGGAACTTTAATGAAGAGTTTCTTGGTAGCAAGAATACCTATATGAAAAAATGATTGTTTTTTTCTTTTTAATGGGCATATATCAAGCTTTATCTTGCATGTTTTTTGCTTTTGTTTTTGAATATAGATGTGTTTCTGGCTTTCAGCTGTCTGTTTTGACAAAATGCTGTACTTAGCAGTGTAACTTTTCATTTCTAAAGCCTGATTATATACAGTCTGAAATGGTTGGCCATGGTTGCTAAGAGATACTGTTCAAATATATCCACAAGTGTCTGTGTTACGTTGGTTTCTATTTTGGAAAATTTATTTCTCTTTTCTATGTATGTCTAGTGTCAGAATGATCTTAGAAATTATGGATGTCTTGCAGCTTATCCATAAAAATAAGACTTTATTGTTGAAACTCAGTAACAAATTGGACATATCAAAATAATTGTCTTTTTTTAATTGAAAGACTGGGTCTTAATTCAGCAGCGTTTCAACAAATGGTCTGTACAACAGAACTGGAAGTATAAATATTTTGCTTCTAAAAGCAATTTAATAAGTAAATTAAAAACATAAGTGTTTCCAGCTGTTTGCTCTTTTTGGGTGATTTTTGCTATTTGGGGAAGGATGAGATTACTATTTATTTCTTTAGCCAGAGAACTAATAGAACAAATCACTGTGTTTATAACCTCTGGAGGGCACCTGACAAGCCTCATAATTTCCTCATGAAATTCCCATGTCAGATTCTTACTGCAAGAAAAAGATAGTTGGATCTCATTGCAAACTACAGAAAAATCCAAAACAATGAAGAAGAACATGTACTTCAGTCCTAAACCTGGACGTTAGAAAGCAAAATCCCAGACAGTTTAACAACTTTAAAACATCTTTTTCTGTCTTTATCTTTTTTCTTTTTCACCTCCTCAAAGTTGTGTAACTGTTTAACAGAGATCAGGTGGTATACATAGACTGGCATATCCACTTACAATAAGTATTTATAATTTATCTGTTTGTGAACCCAAAATAATTTTGCTTTCAACCATTCCTGTAATAATTTTCTGAGAGCAGTTTATAAATTTGTGACACCTGTTTGGCAAACTATCCTCATTTCTCTTGCAAGACAGGTACTGGTTGAAAGTTACTTTCTTTTTCATACAACGGAGATAGATACAGGTTGCTAATGATTACTACTTTAAACTTGCCTATTTTCTGTGCATTTGTGGGTTTTTGTTGGTTTTGTTTTGTTTATCGTGTCTTAATTCTTAGAGGCAACTTTAGGTGTCAGTGTTTCAGGATACATTTTGTACAACACAGGACACTGGATCTGGTTGTCCTTTGAGTACCACGTAACAATTGTGCTGTTTCAAAATCTTATTTAAAAGTTACTAAGTAAAGGTGGGTTTTCTGATGTTATTTTTTCCTTTTAAAAGTGGATATTTAGTTAAGCATTTTGTTTAACCTGGAGGATTAATTCCCCCTGATTTGTGTTCTTTTGTGACAATTGGAGAAGATTCTGTAACAGCAGATCTAGTACTGGCATAGACCTCATTGTTGAGTCTTTCCACAGTGTGAGAGCCATGCAATCACTAGGAAGGCTGAAAAGCTCAAAATATATATTACAAGCAATTAGAAAAATGTGACCTTGAAACACTGTTGTGGGAACAAAATGTTACAGCAAATGAAGATCGTTTAGTTTTACAGTCAAGGAATGGTGGATGGTAAGAGGCAAACTGGCATATTTTGTAGATATGACAGCATCTAAGAATGTGTTTGTTTTGGGAGAGAAGGAAGGCAGGATTTTGGAGCCACTTATTCAGAAGTTTGTTAGTGATTTGAAGACTTCCAAAGTTTTGTTATGTCAGGAGTAGAAATCAATAAATTAAGTTTTGTGATGTTGTACTGGTCTTCTAACAGATTTTTAATACTATATTTCTACACTTCATATCACATGGATGTTACATTCTAACATCCCTGTACATTCATTAATTTAACTTTATACAGAAGTCTATGTCATACTTGTCAAATGTTTACTGTTTCAGTTCTCTTTTTTTCTTTAAACACAGCTGTTGGAGCTGTTTGACAGTGAAGACCCTCGAGAACGAGACTACCTAAAAACAGTCTTGCACAGAATTTATGGCAAGTTTCTGGGTCTTAGAGCATTTATCCGAAAACAGATTAATAATATTTTTCTACGGTAAGTTGTGGGAAAAGGAACTTTTTGCTTATGGACATTTTAGGAAACTGATTTATTACTTATATTTAACTTTTCTTTTTTTAGATTTGTTTATGAAACTGAACACTTCAATGGCGTAGCTGAGCTGTTGGAAATATTAGGAAGGTAAACGAGTCTTTATTTGTTATCTATCTCAAATTTCCTTCCTGGACATGTCAGAGTAGGGTTGAATTTGGAAAAAGTATTACTGTAAGCCCTGATTCTGAACACAGATCTGTGTACATGCTCATCTTTAAGCCCACATGCAAATCTCTGTGAGATCTTTGCCAAGGCTATAGAACTGGATGCAAGTTACAGCCAGAAGTGTTGGATTGATTTTGTGTGTGTCTGTTAAATTTTGTGCACTTCATCCTTAGATGTTGCAGAATATTTTTTTTTTTTGAGCACACTAACAATGTGAATATTTTGAGTAAATCTAATTCTGGTAAGTTAATTCCTGGAGAACACCTTGCTTCCGTTAATTTACAGACCCCATAGACAAGGTCTTATCTGTTTGGCAGCAGGTTTGTGCAGCTGTTTATATGATTATTCCTAAGTCAGAGCTGAATTTCTACCTAGATACTTACTGCACTGCTCATACAAAGTAGGAAGAAAGTCAGCACCTGTTTACAAATGGCACAAGTCTGCTGGTTGTAAACAGGTGCTGACTGATGCATTATTTTCCTCTAGAAAGTGTTTGTTCAGACCTCATGAATGTTTTCTGTGATGATAACACTAACAAGTATTTCTCTTCTAATTTCTAGTATTATCAATGGCTTTGCTTTACCTCTTAAGGCAGAACACAAACAGTTTCTGGTGAAGGTGCTGATTCCTTTACATACTGTCAGGAGTTTATCACTCTTCCATGCACAGGTAGAAATTATGAAAATGTTTTCTGCACAGTTAGAATGATACGTATTTTTTTAAAGGTTGCTTTGGAAATTTAGTTGTGTAGCACATAAAAGCAGGGGGAAAATTTTGAAACATGGAAAAAATGCAGTAGATTGACTTTTTAATTCATACAATGTGCTTTGTATGATAAAAGTCTTCTGTTCTGATTATATAATTGGAAGTGTAACATATGTCTTCAGTATTTTTGTTTACAAGTTAAACTCTGTTTAGGTTTTTCTCTCCACTGTTTTCTCATTCTCACAAGTTTGCCTTTCCCATTCCCTCTGCCAAGAGGATGTTTGAGTTTCCTTAGTCTTGTGCTTTCAAAGCTCTTCTTCACCCTGGCAACTTTCTGAATACTAGTAACCACATTTTTGCATAATCTTTAATGTTCTCCCTCACAGATTTCTTAATACTGCATTTATGCTCTCATATATTGTTTTATACATTCAGCTTTCATAGTATAATTTTGCCTCTGATAAATTATACTTGTCACCTTTCTCTCTTGATTTTCAGGCAGTGCAGTCTTTCTTATGCTGATAAAGCTGTGCTTTCTAAATGTGTTATTCCAGGTTTTAGCTCTGTCTGCTTATCTTGCAAGAGTTTTCATGATTCTGCATATGTATAAAATATTTAAAAAGATACAGTTTCAGAGAGCAACAGAAGCTTCGAAACATTGATTGCATGACTGTGTTTAGAATTCCAAGTTACTCTGATTTTTTTTGTATGTGCTACTTTGTCACCTTACTTTTTTAAAAACATGCTTTGTTATTTCTTATAAACAACTTTGAGTGGATTTGCACAGTGCAAACTGTGCATCTCAGTTTAAAATTGGATGCAATTTGGGAAGAATGTGTAGCATTTTGCCTTGTCTTGCTTTGAAAATAAAATGTTGATTTGGGGTTTCTTTATAGAAATGTTCTGACTTTGTTTTCATAAATCCTTACCTCTTCACAGCTGGCGTATTGCATAGTACAGTTTCTGGAGAAGGACCCTTCACTCACAGAACCAGTAAATATTTCTTCCATACTTTATTATTATTATTATTTTCCATCATAAATGGCTTACCCCATTGAGAGAAAAGTAAAAAATTTAACTTTTTTTCGTTCTCATCTAGGTCATTAGAGGTCTAATGAAATTCTGGCCAAAAACCTGCAGTCAGAAAGAGGTAAGTGATACAGTAGCATTTACAAAACAGAAGAGTTACTTTGTTTTACAGTAGAATAGGCAGAGAATCTTTAGGTATTTCCAGGTAAGTAGCACATGCTGTGGTGGATCTTGGTATTAATTAATATTAATTCTTGAAGGTGATTTTCCCATACTTGAATTGTGGATTTTTTAGACAGTTTTGACTATGCAGAGAAGAGTTTGATAACCATGGTTTCTTATAAAAAAACAAGCACTGCTTCTTCTGTAGAGAACTTTTTTGTTTTAGAAAGGAGAAAATAAGCTTAGTTAAGGATAGATTTGAAAACTGTTAAATTTGGAATTGTTTCTATGTGAGGATAGTATTTTTCCAGAGACAATGAAAGATACTTTATTGACTGGCATTTTACCTACTAAACATGTAAAATATGCTGTTAAACCTTTGCATTTTTATTTCAAATTCTTGATGCAGATCTGAGTTTCCCTAATGAAATTTTGTGACACAGAAAAACTGTTATTTTGAATATTGTTTCCAAATTTAAAGACATTTTCTTCAGGTAAAGGCCAAGCCTTTGAGGCTGAGTTTTCAACATGTATATACTGGTGCAAAGGGCTACTTTAAATATGGAATTGCACACACTTGTCCTCCTTAAGAGACTGAATCCAGAAGCTGCCAGAAAGCAGAACTTAAAACATTTTTTGATAAGAGTGTCTTGCTGAGCTAGTAAGGCTTTCATGTCTGCCTGAAGTGTAAAATTTGAGGGTTGCCAGCATTTTACTAATCAAGATGATTCAGAGGTTTTTTTTTATATTCAACGCTTCCTTCCTTGTCTTTAGGTCATGTTCCTAGGAGAGCTGGAGGAAATCTTGGATGTAATTGAACCATCACAATTTGTCAAAATCCAGGAACCCTTGTTTAAACAAATTGCCAAGTGTGTCTCTAGCCCTCATTTTCAGGTCAGTGGTAGAGGTTATTGTTGGGATAAGAATGTAGGGTCTCAATTTCAAACATAACCGTCTCCCCAGTAGTAAATACTATTTTATGCTATATGCTTTTAAATACTTGTCTTCTGGATTTCTGTGGAAAAGGGTATGCTACAATAGAAGTTTAGTTTTGAGGTCCACGAGTGACCTGTTTGGTGTATCTGGGCTTACAGCACATAACTTGCCATTCTTGGCCACATAAATCCTCAAACTATATCCAAGCAGACTTTTGAGCCCTTCTGATTGTAGGTGCTGGATACTCCCCGTGTGGCCTTCAGACTGATAGTCTATGGAGGAGGCATTTGCTCCCTTTTTTAGTGCAGCATAGTGCAGCATTCTTGTGTTCCCACTAAGTTCCGTCTGGAAGGAGATGACTGGTTAGAGGTGACAGAGCCCATAGTGTGTTTCCTTCACATTGCATAATGGGAAGGGAGTGAATAGGATCTAAGTTAAATCATATGTGGAGAGGAGATAAGATTCTTGGCCCGTAGTGTCTCCATATTAAGCTAGGTGACCTATACTGGTCAGATATGACTCTTTTCTGCTGTTCCTTGGACTACATTTGTTAGTGTAATTTATATCAGTGTTTTCCCTTCTACCCCCCCATCTCCTCCCCAAGGTGATTGTCATCATTGGTATCATCCCCACAATTAAGGTATTTCCTTCCTTATTCAGCCCAGCTACTGAGCCTTTCCCCAGCTCCTTCTGGTGGTATCCCAGCGCTGCTCTATTCCTTCCAACTGCAGTCACAGGATGGAGGGAAAGGGGCAATGCTCTCCCTTCCCCTCCACAGCTGCAGCATTAATGCAGGGTCTGCACCTGGTCTTCAGTGAGTAGCAACATATTGCTCAGGGGAAGGAGAGTGGATACTGTGGGATCTGAATTGGAGGATAAAAACTTAATTCCATGAATGCATGTTGTGCTACTGATTGAAGTAGAACTTGAATTCCAAATGTATTGATTCTTATTAATTCATCATAGTGAAATTTCTTCATGGTTCATTTTTTCTATAGAAAGTTACAAATTTATCAGTATCTGAATTCCTGCTAATGTTTTATTCCTTTGACTCAAAGGTGGCTGAAAGAGCACTGTATTATTGGAATAATGAATACATCATGAGTTTGATAGAGGAGAATTCAAATGTTATACTTCCCATCATGTTTTCCAGCCTTTATAGGATTTCTAAAGAACACTGGAATCCGTAAGTTTTTGTCATTACCCTTATTTCTTTCCATTTTCCTGATAAACTTAAAGAAGCTGAAAAAAACATCTGAATGGGAGAGATCCACCATTCAAAGCTGGCATAAGCAGTTGCAACTTTGTCAGTGTCAGTATAAATTAGTCTATAGTTGAGCTCATCTCAAAATGTTTTTAATTTTTTGATATGTACAAAACTCAGTACCTTATGGGATAAAAATAGACCTTCTCACAAGCTGAAAAAAAGGTAATTTAGATGTTACATTGTTACTGAAGAAAAAATGTTGCTCATCAAGTAATTCTCCTACACAGTTTTTTATAAACTGGTTAATGTCTTAAGCCTGATTGTAAATAGTCTAGAAGAGCACTGCTTGGTGTTTAAATAAGGCTTTGTGGGTGTATCGTGGATTATACTGATATTTCTGGTACTTTTTCTAAACATCCATAAAGCATACAGACATCAGTATATTTTTCTAAATATCTGTAAATCATGTAGACACCAGTAAATTCTTAGGTTAGGCTGTTTTTTCTAAATTTATTTAAATGTAGCTGTTCTCTATTATACACAGTGATGGAGTAGTTGCTTCATCTTGATATCCTGTTTATTTGATTTTTTTATTTGTAAGCCAAATGACCCAGCAGAAAATGTTTTAATGCAAATTACTGTTACAGTTAGATGCCATGTATTCCAAACTTTAGTTGAAAAGTTTTTTTTTAAGTCAAGGTGGTTACCATTTAGTAAACCCAGTGTTCTCAATCATCTGTGCTATACCCAGGCCCCAGTTGCTTCAACATCACAGCCATAGTAGTGGATGAGGAACTGGGATTTCTTTATTTGGTCATCTATTCCAAATTTGTTTTAGATTTGTTTCTTTCCTTTCTCCCTTTTCAGCTTTGTCATTTCTTTATCTTCAACTCTGCCAGAAAAGAATTTTAACCTAGATAATCAGACTGTTGGCAGACCTACACTACTTTGGAAATTCTAGTGTGTTTTAGTTTAGTTATCCAGTCAAGTGGTATAAATGAGCAAACTGATTCTGCCTTTTTTGAGCCTTTGGGGGACAGAATGCCTTTGAAAACTTTTAGGAATCATTATTATTATACATTGTTTCTTCCTGTATGAACATACCTGTCATATTTTTAGGTAATTATGCAACTAGAATTCAAAGAAGGAGTGGTATATTGGCTCTTGGGTAAGGTCAGGAACAGCAATAGGCAGAGGTTATATGTAAAAATAATATTTCTTTATATATTATATATATCATTTTGATTTTAAAAATATACATACAGACATGAAGAGTTTTATTCAGATACTGCAGCACTCATCTGATGGATCAGTGGGGTTTTTAAAGTTTTTTGCTGTACCAAAGTGAAAATAAATGTGAAGAATATGAGTACAAGGAAATCACTCTTGAAATACAGCCTTGTGTTTTACATAGATGCACTGAATATTCAGCTTCATAGAAAAACTATGAGGAAATATGAGTAATTCACATTTCATGTTTTTGTTCCTTGTGCCAGCATTGATGATTTGAGTCCCCAGAGCTGCACACAGAATTGTTCCACAGAACGAGGGAAGAGACTGTTGTTATATGTAATAGCTTTCTGTTGTTACCTTTTACCCTAGAGTTTTGGTTTGCTCTATTGAAGCAGTCAGTAGAGACTTGAAAGCTGGTTTTCACCTTTAAATATGTTAATAAAAAATAGTTTCACTGAAATAAAAGAACTTCCATTCTCGTATTTGCAAGAGCAGAATTGGTTGCGGAAATGCTGGTAAGAAGAGATGCTTTTTATTTCACGTCTGATTTCACCTGAAACTAATAGACTCCTTTCTTTCTTTCATGTTTCACAGGGCTATTGTGGCTTTAGTCTACAATGTGTTGAAGGCATTTATGGAAATGAACAGCACCATGTTTGACGAGCTGACAGCCACTTACAAGTCAGATCGTCAGCGGTAACTTTTTAAAGCTTCTTTTGTCAGCTGTGCATAAGGCCCTGCTGTTTGGTTTTTGCCCTAAGACTCAGATGCAATTGCATCATCTCACACATAATAGAGACAAGGCCTCATTTTTACCCCTGCATGCTCTTTAGCCTTTTCTTTGCAAGATGTAAGATAGTATTATGGATGGGTTGTTCTTATGCCTTATGAAATACAGTATCCAGTGCCTTGATTGGGAATCCACATTCTTCACAGAATTCCTTTTGACTCTGCATTCCAAAAGATTTAAATGTATCTTTAATAATAAAAGAAATACAAGGGTTTAAAGATAACACTTTGCTTAAAGCCTTGAAGAAAGTCTCACTGAGGTTTAGAAAGAGACATGAGGTAAAACCCTAAGATACTATGTTCCACACTGCTGCTTGTAGGCTGGATGTGGTATTAAAGCAGAGACACATCTCTCAGCCCTTTCACTTCTTACTCAGAGGTCTTGCTGTATTTGAGTCTTTCAGCATGCAGGATCCATTAGATACACCACTCATAGGGTCATTAGTTCCACCCTAGCAACATGCTTTTTGTCTTTTCTGTATTCGTTAATGTTAATTTTCTGATTATAGTCCAGCATCTTTTCTCAAAAGTTTCAGCTTATTCAAAGTGTCAAGTGAAAAAAATGAGGAAACTTCAGGAACTTTGAACAGTTTGCAGCTTCATTTAAGTCATATGTTTTCCATGACTCAGGGTTCCCCCAAGCAAAGCAAAGGCTATTGTATGTTGTCAGACCTTGTTAGGTTAGTTCAAAAGTCTCTTGGAGTCCATATTTTTTTAATTGTGTGCCAGGAATTACGTTGACCTTTTGTTCTGCTTTGTTGTTGTAAAATAGTTTTATACACAGAAAATCTACACATAACAGGTTAGTTCATTAATACTGTATTTTACTTTGAGAGACTTGGATACATGTTTGAGCTAAGATTCCAGATGAATTCTAGATAGATGTTGATAAGTAAGGCTGAGTCTGCTAGTGCAGTTCAGACATCACTGTGTGATTTTTCTACCAGAAAAGGCAGAGGATCTTGGAACTAGTAAACAGCTAATCTAGCTGTTTACTGAGGGACGTCAGTGACTTAAATCAATTTGCAATTGCACTTTGCCCCCTTAAGGTGAAGAATCTGCTCCTAACAGGACCAGACGCTGTAGCAGTCTTATGTTTGATTTTAAATACTTTCTAGTAACAGTGGGCTCCTTTTTACTTTCATTTTTTTTTAAAAAAAAACCAACCCCAAACTGTTCTTCAGGGAACTTCTATATGGAAGTTGCTTGTATTTTTTTATATGTGTAAAATAACTCTTGGGAAATGAAAGCTTCAAATAAATGAGCCAGATATTGGCATTTTGGCTGAAGCAAGATGTGTAGGACTGTTTCTAATCAGCTGAAATAACTTTTAAGAATTCTTTAATGTGACTGGCAGAGAGAAATATTTACAAAAAATATATATGTGTTAGGGAAATTGCAGTTCTATTCAGCAAAATTAGTGCTGCTAATTAATGTCAGCTATATATTTTTAAACATTAATATTCTACAGTTTTCTCTTGCTAACTCTTGGTTTTATTCCATCTGTCAGTGAGAAGAAGAAAGAGAAAGAGCGTGAAGAACTGTGGAAAAAACTGGAGGATTTGGAATTAAAGAGAGGTCTTAGACGTGATGGAATAATTCCAACTTAACAAAAAAACAACACAGCATTATTAACCTGTGGAGTCACACATTTATGTAGTAGAAGATGGAGCAACAGTTTTCTGTATTGTGCAACTTTACAGTAGATTTCACATTTGTTTCATTATTACAACAGCACTGTATATACCTGTCTCTAAGTAAAGGAAAAAAAATAAGGACTTTAATCCAAAGTTTGGACAGCAGATGGACTTCTCAGAACTTTGCAAACATAATCATTGTTTTAACCCTTCTTTAAAACCAGTCTTCAAAGATCTGTTGATGAAAATTGCGATGTCAAATTCCATTGTCAGGACCTGTTCCTTATTTATCGTTAGCAGAGAGTATAACTTTCAAATGTGAACAATCTTAAAATTTAGCTTGTCTTTCTGCTAAACTGTTAAGTGTATTTATAGTAAAAGAGAAAAAAGACTGTCATTTCCTTATGAGTTTGTGTAACATCCTCCTTCTCTGGATAACTTTACTGTAATTTGATGTTTTTTTCCTTTTGCACATCTTCATAAGTTGAATGTCCATTCAGATCAGGGCCATGAAAAACATAGGTCCTGAATAAAAGTTTTGTTTACTGGTGTGAGCATTTTTTTTTTTTTAGTACCAGGCTGTTTCTGGTGCTTCCTTAATTTGAACATTAGGAGTTAAAAAACAAGTAGGTGATAAACATAGTAGGAAAGGGAGCTTTGGATTCATGCACCTATTTATTGCAAATCCAAATTAGTGTCCACAATCCTTTAAAAATGGGCAGTGGTAACACCCTGGACTTCAGTACCTAACCAGTATTAGTGACATGGCATTGGACATATATACCAGAGTTGGTTTAGAAATACTAATTGCTAAATTATTACAGTATGTTTTATTGGACCATCTGGAAAGAATAAAGACAAACGCTAAACAGTGCAAGCATGACATTGATCCCCAGTGGTCATGGATCTAATTGGAAGTAGAGTTGAGATAGCAGTTTGGACTGTTTGGAGTTGTTGCCTTACTTTTTAATATGTATTTATAAAGTGTTCCAGCAAAAGAGGATGTAGCCTCTAAGAAACATACTATAGTGTTTTTGTGGTTCTAGTACTATTACTCATCACAGTACCAGCCCTATGGTCTTAGCTGGAAAGGATTTTGGATAATATACTTCTGCATTCTCATCTGGATGCTCATTCCTAACTACTGTATTTGTTACCAAAAGTGGTTCTACAAATGCTACTGAAAAAGAATTCTGGAAATCCTAATGTTCTGAGTATTAATAATAAAGTTTAAAATGCTTTTATATCAAAGGTGCATTGTGACCAAATTGTTTAAAACAAAAGAAAAAAAAAAAGAAACGAAGAGGGCTGTATTATAAGTATACATTATTGGCTATCTGCTTTGTATTTGAAAGTGGAATCTTACATCTTTGGTAGGTAAAATGCTGATAAGACTTATGTACAGTATATATTTAGCTAATGCAGTTGCATTATTATATACCGAAAGGTATGTGTTTTGGGATTTTTCTCCAGGATGCTTTTGAAATGTTACAGACATATGACAACAGTGAATTGATAATCCTAAACCATCAATCCAGCAGTATTTACAGTATAAAACTGAATTGGTGTTCATGAGTCTTTGTGATAGTTGCAAACATGAATTTATGACCTGTTACCATTGATAGAAATACAGTATAAATACAAGCTTGTATATTTTTCTTCCTGCCATTTAAATATACAGTAGGATTTGAAGTTTTCTTGTTTTCAGGCACGGAGAAGTAAAAAAGAATTCCCTTCTAGACTACTGACTGTTTCAGGATTATCAGGTCACAGTTTGTACTTCTGGGTCTGCGCACACAAATGTTGTAAACTCAACGGTTTTGTAAAAACTTGACACTGTTAATTCTGGAAAAAAAAAAAGTGGAACTAGTCATATACAACACCAAACACAACGTGGTTTAATGGGATTAATATGAGCTTCTTTTAAGAACACTGACTGGGACGCAATGTAAATTAGGCAGTTACTGTCATAGTTGAAACATTTTATTTTAAAGTGCTGAAGCAAAGGTGCAAGCTGAAATACTGAAGATTAAATAAATTTATAACAAATCATGTCCCTTAGCGCATTGATTTTGACAGTCTTTTATTTCTGTTACCAAAAATTTGTTAGTGTGATTTCTGTGTGAAATGGTCATGCTTTACAGGAGGGTGGACTTAAACTCATGCTTACAGACTATGTTCCTTTGTGAAAAACTGAGACAGAAGGGAGAAAAAATGATGAATATTATCCACCTGGTGGAGTAAAACACAACAATGTGAAATTAGAAAAAGCACCTTGTCCTGTACTTAGAGTTTAGGTGAGTGTTGTTTGTTCATAACTACTTTTGCTTTTGACATGACGTTCTGGTATTGATCATACAAAACTGGTGAGAACCTGATGGGTTGCAATATTTTGTTACTTCTGATGTTACCTCTGATGTGGGGATAGAGGGGAGTATCTAAAGCTTATAGATGATTTATCACTTCCGAGAAGGAATGTTTCTTTAAAGTGAATGAGACGATGTGATATTAGTCACTTGACTCTAAAAGGCTGACATGACATTAGGTTGCACTGTGTGGTGTTGGGGAAGAAGCACTTGCCACAAAGATCCGACCGTACCCCCGGGATCCTGCGTTTGCCGCAATCCAAACGCCATGTCCTGCTGCTCTGCAGAGACCCCATTGCTATCACTTGGAGTTGTAGGCAAAGAAGAAGGGCCCAAGTGTGATCAGTGTGTCTATTTGATCAGTGTATCTAATTATGCTTTCATTTGCTTCTTGAGTTCCAGAAACGACCTTTGTTTGTGTAAATGTTCTTGTTAACTGCTCGTGCAGCGGTTGCTGGGTGGTCGCTCGTGTCCTGGGCCATATTGGTTTCAGGAGGAAGGATTGAATGCTCCCTGGTAAAAGGACAGAGCTGCATTTTCAATACTAGGGCATTGCATCAGGTCATGGGGATAGAACAACTGCAACAGTAGAGTTCCTCTACTTTAAATTGAGCACACATTGCTTTCTTCAGCTTGCAAGTCTCCCTTACTGTGTTCCTTTAATTGCTTTTGAGGGGTGTTTGTCTGTCTTCCAAAGGTTGGAATGCTTTAAATGCAAGCATTCTATTGCCATTGGACCCTTCACTAGCAGGGTTACTGTAAATTTAATCTTGGTTTTGTTAGCATAAATAAAAGGATTTAATTTATTATTCTATCTCCTATATATGGAAAAATTGGAGGGTGTTATAGCCAAGAATTGCTTAACTAAGAAATGCAGCAGCTGTACTTGCATTATATGTGCCTAAGTACAGCCTTAGGCTCTCTCACTCTATGGAGAGGAAAATATATTGGGAGCTTTAAAAGCCTCTTCATTGTTTTGTGAGGGGGAAAGGCTAGATTCTTCTCCCCCCAGATAAAACCAAAATAATTTGCTTTTGATTCTGTCTTGGAAAACAAAGATGTATGTTTCTCATAATTGTGTAACGATATCATCCCAAAAGCAGTTGCCCCAAAACAAGACAAAGGTGACAATGCCTAAGACTGAAGAATGTTTTTATTGACATGTAGCTTTTTTAGTTTTGGCTCATCTGAATCCCTTAGCAGCTCTGGAGTGGGCCACAAATCAGTTTTTCTAGTTAGTATGTGCAGCAGATTTTGTATAGCCTGTTTTGTTTTGTTTTGTTTTGAAGTCTATGAAACATTATCTTGAAACAGAATGGAACTAATTCTGATTGAAAACTTTTATCCAAGTGTTGCTTCCCACCCAGAGAAGCACACACGCTTTTTATCATGACCTCTCTGAATACAAGTTTTTTGTTATTTGGGTCATTTACTGTAAATATGTTGTGTTCATAACCTCACGTAAGGATGAGGAGTTTTCAAATATAAATAGTACTGATACATTTCTTGTCGTTGTCCTATTTTCAATTGTAGTATAGCAAATGACCTGTCATGCTTTTTGTTTCAAGGTTAGCATTAGATTCATAGATCTTAATATTTTAGCATTTCATTGTTTAAGCAGGAGAGGGCAGCAAAAGTTCTTTTTTCCCCATAGGAATGCTCTGGTCCACTACTGTTTTTAAACTTAGATGCATTTAACTATCTGTGGGTAAGAGGGAAAAATGAAACATTTTTTATATATATTAAAAGGTGCATATGAAAATATATAGACTGGTCCAACCAGACTGTGAAAATGTCTTCTACTCTACATCAAAGTAATAAAAAAAGAAAAATATCTTCCACCTTTGGATAAAGTACAAGCAGGTCTTAAGCTCTTGGATTCAAATGTCATTCTTTGGGAATAGTTAACTTTCTTAAAAATGGTATCAAAGAAACTCGAACTCAATGGTGCTCCCAGCTATAAATGTGTAATCTTCCTCTTTTGCACGTGCTCAAGAGGCTCTGTACCGTGGGTGCATCTAAATAAAGAAGCAATGAAGTGTTTTCCAGGTGCTTGGCTTTTTTGTCCTCCTCTTCCCATCTGAACTTCATGTACCTTTTCAACAGTGAACTTCCAGTGATCAGCTCTCTGTTTGCATGTATTAAATGTAAGGACACCTGTCTGAGGAAAAAAACCAACACAGACAATGAGGTGGTAATTTAAGTTTATGTCAGATTTACCATAGTAAATGCTCAGTTTTCATGAAGTTTATTTTTTTTTAAAGATCCTCTCATGATGATGAACATCTTCATACTGCACACAGCAATGCCTGTGAGGGAGGTGAAGAGCAGTGGGTATTGAAAAGAGGCATTGGAGTCACACAGTGTTCTTTATAAGCCCTTTGAGCCTTATGCTTGCCAGCTGGTGAAGGAACAGGTTCTTTTATAGCATCATTCTACTGATTTCAGTCCTTGTCCTGACTCTGCCTTGCAGTTTGAAAGCGAAGAGAAAGGCTTAAGATGGTGACATACATGGGAAACAGGAGAGAACCACGGATGGAGCCTGGTGAGGAGCAATGCTGGTGAACAGCTTTAGCAGAAGCACAGATAGAGATACAGATGCTGTGCTGCAATAAGAGACAGTATGTATAAAACATTTACTTCTGATTTTAATAGATCGGTTTCCTACATGAATTAGTCCAGTAGCCTAATTCTTAAAAATTCTTTCCATTTTGATTTTTTCCAAATCTTTCAGCTGTTGGATCCTGTGTGCCTTTGTTAGAAGAGCTCATTTTCACAAATCTCTTTAAATGCTTGTTAAGACAAATAATCAGATCACTTAACAACCTTCTGTCTCTTTGCTTTCTTATTGCAAGGCAAGTACTTTCCAAAGAAATAAAAAAAAGATGAAAACACGCAGTAAGTTGGCCTTCAGGGTAGGATTTGTCCTCAGCACTTGAAATTTAGAAAGTCACCTTTAAAGGACTGGAGTTAAAAACTTAAAATTACTTTCCTACTTTTGGTAATGCTAATTGCTTTCCTGGTTTTTCTTCTTTGTCTTTACTTCTCAGGGATATTTTTGTTTCTTGCAAAATAGCAGAGTACCTGGTTTATTTTACATTTAGTTTGGACCCCAGACCACGAGTCTGTGACCTACAAAAGTGATTTTGTGTGCAGGTAAAGGCTGTTCCCAAGTCTGTTGAATTACTGCTTCAATGTACAGTAAAGCAACAGCTTGGGTATTAAACTATAAACTGATAGAAGATTTTGCACTGTGAGTTTGGAGCTATCTACAGTTTTAGATATTCAATGCTGAAGCCAAAGTGAATATCCTGAATTTGTTAGTAAATACCTTGAAAGAAAGTGTAATAATGCACTATAAAAAGTGCAGGCTTCTCTGCCAGTCGCTGTCATATGAAAAATTGTCATATTGAAACTACCTTTTACTGTTTTTCTCTTTGTTCCCTCCCATATTAATTTTGTCTATTCAGTACTTCCCCCCCCCCAAAAAAAAATAATAAAATAAAATAATTGAAAATCACTGCTGGTTTGAGAAGATAGAGATCACTCAGGAATGATGGAGAGCTTGGTATACATTTGAAGAAAAACATACTTGGTATTGTTGGACAGTGGCTCATATCTTTGATACACAGTTGAAAACATCTGGGATCTTGTCTTACATTATCCCTGAGTCTGGGAAGGTCTTCCAAGAAAAAAAGAACAAGAAAGGGATATTCTATATGGCTTCAGAATCTTGTTTTCAAAAATTTTTACTTTGTCACCAGCTGGGGCAAGTTTTTGTTTGTGCATAAACCTCTGCACTTCACCGACAGAGAAAGCAGCAACCCCAGAGGCAGCGTTAACCGAGTGGAGCGGAGGGGAACAGGGAGGGTGCTGGTGCCAACC